TTCTTCTCGTCTATTGCGGTTCGCTCGAGGCTCGAGGTCGCGACGACACCGGCTTCGTGAACGTTGAATCGATGCGTCGAGATGTCCGCGAAATGGCGTTCCAGGATTTACTCGGCGAGGGGAGCTCGCCGGAAGAACAACAAGTCCCTAAAAAGCGCATGAAAAATGCTTCCGGTATGTTATCTCACGTCGAATATTGTTATTCACGAATAACAAAAGGATGCATGTGGATTGTAATTTTAAAATTTGTAACATGAGTGGATGAAAAATTGTATTTCATCGATAATTATTTATTCAAAGCAGTTGTTGGTTTGAACGATGAAATAATATAAATTAATTGCAGGAATTCTTCAAAATACAATGTTATTGGCAAGTTGAAAGTATTTGCTTGAAGAGTACAGTGTTCAGTAATTCACGAGTGCTAATATGATATTCAAAAGATAAACTAAAATCTTTTGAATCGACGATCAAGATTGCATCCTCTTTTGAATTCATAATTAGAAAAAATATAGATTATTATTAATTTATTTATTTTTATTTTTAGAAATAAAATAATTGTTTCAAGATTTGTGTATTAATAATATAAATATAAAGTAAGATAATTAAGATTTCTCTTAACAATATTTTAAATAGATATTTAAGAATATTACTTTCATTATTAAGCTAATTTGAGCAATTTAAAACAATTTAAAAGTTTTAACACAAAAAAGATCTCTCGTTTAACAAAAACATTGTTGTTTCTAGTTCCAAATTATATTGAATCAGGAGAAGCAAGAAAAGCAAGAGTATTAACAAATTAAAAGACAGAAAAAAGCAAAAGAGATCTCACGAGAACGAGGCTTAAGCAGCCTCTCGAGGCGTTGCAGTGTCATGAACGATAACAAGCACGAATAATACGGTGGTTTTAGGCAAATCAGACGAGGGAGGATACTACAAGACGTACGGTAGCGACGCCGAGGGCGAGAAGGGTTACGAGAAGGCAACCTACAGCAAGGGCAATCATGGCTATAAGACCCTCGACACCTTCCACAAGCAGGACGGCGACAAGTACGCATTCGAGAAGCATGTTGCCTACGGCAAAGCGCATGCTGACAAGAAAAGTAGCCACGACGAGGCAGCCTCTCGTTCCTGGAAAGCGGGTGATCACGAGGGTGCAGGTACGATGAAACTGTACAACCTGAAGCACGTAATTGCGCGAGGACTATACGAAGAGCACAAAGGATGAAGTTAGCTTCTTATCAATTTACCAAACAAGGAGATAGGAATTTGTAACTTTTGATTTTATAGCACATGACGATAATTGACAATGAGGTTTGATCGAAGTAATTATGTTGCTCAAATTTAATTCAAAAATTTTTTTTATGCCACTGTGAATGATAAGTAACATTATACAATGTATATATACGCAGGAAGTTTATATTATTACATTTTTATTTCTATCGAGAAATTAATTTAGAAAAAAGAGCTTTGAATCAACTTTGACAGCTTTTGAATCAATAATAATCAAATTGCAGGAGATAAATACTACTGCTAAATTAGTTCCAAACATAATGGAACTGTGCACAAGATTGAGCACATTTTATTTGAAATAATAAATTATTGTATTATATTAATTTATTATTTTAAAAATAACAGTAATATTTCGTTTCAAAATGGCTTCTCGAATAAAATAATCCTTATATATTATATATATGTTTAAATTCTACGTTAAATAATTAAATACGTAAAATAATTAATTATCAAATACCATTTAATTAAAAGTCGAAAATCAAGAGATAAAGAGAAACAAACATATTTGAACGATACAATAATGCAATAATTTTATTAACGCGATAACTTGAATCCATTTAGTCGTGATAGTTATCAAATTGGAATAAATTTCGAGGTCGGAAAACTTTCTTCTTTGTCAATAATTTTCATATAAAATATCGATGCCATTAGTCGTACGGGATACTATAATGAACGTCGATCGCAAGTTTTGCCTCGTAAACTTAGTGGCTCGAGTATCGATCCTCAATAAAGCTACACCATCGAGATAACGATATTAACTGAATGCATTTGTGCGTTCATTTTATCCTAATTTTAACTACGACACCTAGCCATTCTGCTGATTACTTCATATAGAAATATATCATTCGATCACTTGTAGCTATCGATTATTTTATGCAAATAGAAATTTTATTATTTCTACAAATTATTTCCCATTTTATAACGATTATTTCAACTTCGAAATTGTAATTTTACAATTACATTATTGATCAGAAATTTTGGAATCAATTTTTCAATTATAGTTCCATCGAATCTTTCGTTAATTTTGTTATTGTTTGAAAAAATATAGCTAAATATAGTCAATAATCATTTTCATTTAAATATTTATATTTTTCGAGCTCGCAAAAATCCTAAACTTAATTTTTGATTAAATTCGTGGATTTGATAATAATTCTAAAATCTTTTTAAATCATAATTAACTATACATTTTAGTTGTAAATAAGATACAATATTTATTTTTAAAATTACATCTATTTTATTCATTCATTCATATTTTTATATTCCCTCATCTACATTTTACAAGTTTTACAATTCAAAATAGCGAATTAGATTGATCATATTGATTCTAGCTTACATTATTCCAAATTTCTTTATTAATTGCAATACAAATTATAAATTTTCTAAGGCACCATCATTGATACTCATTATGCAACCGATGAGGGTGATCACGAGGCCGAAGCCAACGATCACAGTGGCTATACTCACGAAGATGGTGCTCACTATACGGATCATGAACCAGAATCTTCGAGTTACGGACACAGTGAAAGCTACACGGACGGAGACGGTGAGCATGGTTCTTACGAAAGCCACAGCTCCTACTCGAAAAGCTCTGGTGATGAATACGGAAACGATGGAAGCCATTACTACTAATCCTTTGCCAAATGGTTGGTTAAATCTATCTTATCTGACCTTCTATGGAAAATACAATAAAAATATCTAATTTGAAAAATTAAAAGAGTGTTAATGAATTATATTTTTATATATCAACAATTTGAATGATATACAATGAATTGTTTCATAATTTTATAATTTAAAAGTTTGATAAAATTGAAATTCTCAAACTTATTTAAGAACAGGAAATGTTCTTTTCTTTACATATTTTATAGAAATGACATGATGTCCTTTCAATAAATTTCTAAAATTTCATTTATTTTAGAAATTATATCTTCTTAAAGTGCAATAATAATTGGCAATTTCTTTTTTTTTTGTATCTAATGAGATAATTTTTTGTATATGATAAAGATGATAAGAAACACAAGAAAATACTAAATATAAGTACAAATTTTATTATTTTATAAAAATATAATATGTGAAACATTTTCGATTCTAAACAAACGCAAAACTCGGTATACAAAAATATTGATAGGAAGATTATTTATTTACAAGCAATTGCGGTTTATTTTAGATGAAGAAAGACGGAAATAGAGTAAAACAATTGTGTTTCTATCACATCTCTCTATCTCTGTCTCGTTTCAACTAATATTAGCTTCAATAATTTTAATAGATAAGTCTCAATCGACATTTTTGTATATCGATTCTTTATTTTAATTTCTAGAATCGATCCTGTTTCGAATATATTAACACTCTGTATACGTGAAATTTTCACGAACGGAAAATTTACAATCATAACAGGGCAAATTAAAGGAAAAATTGAAGCTTGAAATTCAAGGCATGATATTTTAACAGCAATTACGGGCTAAAATTGTTCAACTTGATGAATCGTGAAAGCGAAAAAATTATACAAATTGGACGAACAAAGTACGAACGGGAAAAGGGCAACGCATGTGCAACGTCCAATCCCGTGTCATCAATTAAAGATTAATCAATTAAATCCGAACGATTACGAGTACAATCAAATCAAAAATGGAACAGTTTTCAACTTCGTTTCAAAAGCGTTCGATGACAGCAATATTCATTGTTTTACCTATAAATGAATATTTCGTATTTCATCCTATAATCGTGTTTGTGCAATATCGTTATTAAACATTCCGTAACAAATATATATTCGTTTATTTATAACATTATTTAAAAACTATTGGTTTACTTTTATTCGATTAAACGAACAAAGATTTGAAATACATTGTTAAAACACGAATTTCAACGTTACATATATTCATATAACAACACGCAAATTATTATTCATTATATATAAGAAATAGTTAATAACAAATACGACTGAAAATTGAAAATTATTCACAGTTAAAACATTTCAATAATTTCAATGATTTTGAATAAACTTCGTAATCGCGCCATGTTATTACAATGTTGTTATTCGTATATTTTAATTCAACATCTTGTAAAATTCTTACTTCCTTTCGTGTTTATCGAATGCTTCCAATTGTTGCTTCGCAATACACCGATATCAATTATTATTAGAAGTGCATTGAATGGTTACCCACGCGCACCCTTAATCGTTATGTAACGAACGCTGTGTGTAATTTCGATGGCGTGCAAAGGTGGCGAACTGTTATTACGAAATTTAATGATATTACGCTTGTACTGCATTGATGAGTCGATCTAAATTGCAATTGGTCATCGGTCACTGTTGTTCGTCGGTTGCTCGTTACAATAACGTTGCCGTATCCGGCCTCGATTATGAGCCAGACAATTTGTTCAAGATGTGTATCGTGTTATTAAATGATGGATAGTTACAGGAAAATGTACTAACTAGAAAAGTATTCAACCAAGAAAATATTTTACGTCGTCGGTTAATATTCAACGTTGATAGATGAGAATAAATGGAGTGGAAAACAGAAAAATTAATTTTCGAAATGGAAATCAAATATAAAATCAATTCAAATATATAAAAATCTTCTGTGTAAATTCTTTTTCTTTTCTCTGCTACGAAATGGAAGAATATATTTTTTACCATCTAAATGGCGAAATAAAAACTTATACACAAAATGACACATTGAAACTTGAACATAAAGAATTATTTCTCCATAAAAGTACATGTCAAAAATAGAAGATTTCGCCAATAAATTATTTTATTTTAAATATCAACAATTAAATAATAATTCCAATATATCGTTCAAAAACATGATTCTTATTTTTCTTTCTACGTTAAAACGCTTTAATTATGATTATTAAAAAAAGTTATCTTACGAATGAACAACTCCAGAAAGAAATTATCGACGACTTAACTCGTTCCATCCAAGTTTAACAAAGTTAAACTCGCGAGTTTTATGCGAACGGTAGAGAAAACACGAGGTACAAGTCGGTGGCACGCCATTAGCGTTGTCTGTTTCCTCCCCACGAAGAAGCAACGAGAAGCCCGTTTGTTAAAAATTACGACCG